TGTGACCCTGGGCAAGTCACTTAACCCTAATTGCCTAAAAAAAGGACAACAAAAAACCTAGGTGTCTGCCACTCCAACATACTGACTCATCTACTACTTAGAGCCAGACTGAATCTGTGTCTGGGAAGAGAACTTCTACAGGTCCAACCTGGACATTCCTGTATCTTTGACTGATGAATGTATGTAAACATAGTGATCAGTCAATGAACAAGCTCTTATTAAGCATCTACCACGTGGCAGGCACTGTGCTGGGAATACAAACAGGAATCGAACTATCCCTGCCTTTAAAAAAAGCTTGCAACTATATACATAAAAGGACGTTATATACATCTTTGTTTCTAAATTAACAAAGGGACTAGTAAAGCTGGGCACTCACGTCACTCCCCCAAGGTTTTTCTCAGGTTTCTCCTTTCCCTTTCCCTGCCTCCTAACGGGGAGAGGGCACCGGAGGCCCTGCCTCTATCCCCAGCCGCTCAGGAAGCTGACTGCCCGAGCCCAGGGATGCAGGTCGGGCTTCCCCGGGGCGGACTGGCTGCCCACGGAACCTCTGGCCCGGGAGAGGGAGCTGCTGAGCGCCGCCCTCAGTCCGACACGAGGGCTCCCGCCCGGCCAGACACACTCAGCCAGCAGAGGCGAGAGGGAGCCTAGGGCGCAGCCGCAAAGGACGCACATGCGCGCGGGACAGACATGCGCGCGGAACGTGCGCGACGCTCTCGAGAGCGTCTCGCGTGGGGTCGCGGGCTGCTGAGCGGGCCTTTGCATTGTCGCTCTGGGATACGGTGGAGGTCTTGGCGTCTCTGTGGTCGGCCGGAAGACAAGCCCACCGAGAAAAGGGAAACAGAGGTTGGAGAGGGCTGAGATAGGCTGGAAAGAGGAATTTGACATGGAGAGTATGGAAATACATATGAACAGACGCAAAGGAATATAGCAGAATCAGAAAAAAACAATATAAACAAAGACAAAAATGTATATGGAAACAAACAAACAAAAAAAACCTGAATGATCTAGGTCAGGGGTGGGGAACCTGCAGCCTCAAGGCCACAGGTGGCTTTCTAGGCCCTCAATTTCGGCCTTTTGACTGCGTCCGAGTTTTACAGAACAAATCCTTTTATGAAGGGGATTTGGCCTGGGAAGTTTGAATTCAGTCAAAGGGCTGCACTTGAGGACCTAGAGGGCCACCTGTGGCCTCGAGGCCACAGGTTCTCCACTCCTGGTATAAAGAATACCCCAAAGAGATTTTTTGAAAGTACATCTCTTTTCCTCTCTACAGAGGTGGGGAACTATCAGGATACTGTTTAATGCTGGACATTTACTGTATTGATTACTTTTGCTGAGCTATTTTTTTCCTCTTTTAAAAAATTATTTGCAATAAGGGATGGGACAGGGGAAGGAGAAAGATTGGGAAATTAAGTGATATCAAAAACATAGTAATGCAATCTTTGAAAAATTGTCTGGCTGACTCAGTTCAGGCCTTCTGGGGTTCTATAACTCGGTGGAGGCACCACCATTTAGCTTCTCACCCTCTCTCAGCTTCACAGATCCAGAAACTAGATTTTACTATTTCAGGAGTAAGCGGGGCCCTGGTAAATTCCTTCCCATTAACAAAACACAAGAAACTGATTAAAGTAAGATGCCCATTTGGTAGTTTATAATAATTATATGACAACATTGTAAAAACAACAATTTGGAAAGATTTAACTCTGATCAACATAAGGAGTAACCACAACTCCAGAGAATCAATGATACACTCCTTGCCTAACAAAGTGGTGGTGGATACAGGGTATGGAATGAGATATACCTTTTGGACGTGGCCAGTGTGGGGATTTGTTTTGCTTAACTATGCATATTTGTTATAAGGGTTTTATTTTTCCTTCCTTTTTTTTTTCAGTGGAGAGATGAGAAAATATTTTTTGATAAAAAAAAATTGAAATTTAAAAAAAGATGAGTACCCATGCACATGGGTTGTCTAAATGTGGATCAGGGGAAGGCATAGACAGATATCCCTGGAATCTGGGCCATCCCTCTTGAAAGATATAACGAAAATGTTTGTTCCCATAAATTTGGAGCAAACAGCTACAGAAGTAACTAAGTAAAACAGTAGGTCTCATGTTTTGCTGATAGAAGTTAATCAGAACAAAAGATTCCATAAAATTGAAACAAATGCTAAAAGTAACTAGGTAAAATGAGATAAAGCTGGTCTTACCTTGTTTTGCTGATAGAAGTTAGTAAGTAGGACAAGGTTAAGCTTTGCTTAGAGTGTGCATGCTTAATAGACATAAATATTAGCTTCTCCACCTCCAGGAGGGGCTAAGACACCATTTTCTGAACATGGGATGTATGAAGAAATGACATGTCAAGGAGTAGATGTGTAATAGGTCTACTGGAAAGTTGTACACTCTGGAGTACTCAGCCAATGAGGAAACAGAGGAGGGACTTTGCAGCCAGGATTAGAGATAAAACTCCTGCTTTGGTACAGTGTGTCCTAGTCCATAGGACCCCCAAGGCTAACTGCATAATAAGTTGGGCTTTTAAATTCATCCCTCCTGAGTCTGAATGAGTTATTTCTTATATTCTCCAACAGAGATTTTGATATCTTCCTGGACATGAACAGAAGTTGATATATGGTTTCTCTGTGTCCATTCTCTGTTTTCTGCTGAGAGGTAGTACTGGATTAGAATTACATCTATCTGCCCCCTCAAATATTTCAGGTCTAGGAGAAAAATCTGTTGTTGTTGAAAAGTAACAAAGCCACTAGCTTCTCTGATCACTATCCCTTAAAGGGGAATCATTCAAGATTACTTTTTTCAATCTTGACTCCTTTCCATCAAATGCTAGTTACACAAAAGACCATGACATACATAGTGATTAGAGTAAATCCATTTATCCAAAGAGAGAGCAAACAGAAATCAGAATTATACAGAGAACATTACAAGAAATACATAACAGTGAATGGGCTCTTTAGACGACAGCCACTTGAGAACTTGCTCGACCAAGAGAGCAACCTGTCTCACCCAAGGGGAAGTGCACTACAGTCTCCAAGAAGGCAAACTGAAAATTATCATGTCAAGGTACCAGCATCTCCTTACATGTCTACAATAGAGTCTTTCACTTTCTTCTCCCTGGAGTTGGTTCTAAAGAGAGTTTAGAACCACATGTGCCTATCTCCCAAAACAAGAATAAAAAATGTCTCTCCTCTCCAAAGCTCTCGAGCCAACTCATATAGTCTGTGAGTCATGCGGGGTCTTGTCTGCTTCTCTCCACCATATGAGGAGTCACACCTGGGCTTGAAACCCAAGTCAAAAGTACAGCCATCAGAAGGAAGCCTACTTAGAAAACCAAAAGGTTTGTTTGTTGAATCATAGCAAAGGAAACTAGATGATTTTGGGGCCACTATCTTTGGGCTGACAGTCTGATACACCATTACCCACTGCTAAGATTAGTCACAGCAGATTCCTTAATTTCCAACCCAAGAGTGATAAAGCAAACTTTAAGTTTACTGCTTACTTATGATGTATATGAAAGCATCTTGATTTCAGCAGCAAATTATCTCCAAATTATACTGTAGGATGGGTTGTTCTTGGAAAATTTTCCTATACTTAGTGTTTCCCAATTTGCTCATTTATTGGGACAATATAATGGTTTCTGAGGTTTCCTTCTCTTTGGCTTCAGGGAGTTTATTTTAGATGAAAAGTTATGAGTTCAATCACAATCTCTCCAAACCCCTCAATTAGGAAAATTCCTAACATTTGTACACAGGTTGGCCTTTTGCATTTAGATCTATTGTTAGTTACCCCCTGGCCTGCTGACAGTTGAAGCAAAACTCAATTTACTGAAAATACATAGTGATAAAAAAAACCCAAAAAAACCACTACTTCACAATGACTATAGACAGGCACTGAGAGGGGAATTTGGGAAAAGATGCAACTTTATCCCCATCCACACTGTGCACATCCTTGCTGGTAGGGAAGGTTTTCCCACATGGACTGCATCTAGTTTCATCATAGCTAGTTTCAAGCAGACTTAGCTGTTCAGGACTCTTCCTGACTTCTGGCTACATTTAAAAAATCTTTTTCTTCAACCTGTTGTTCTCTGTCCACTGAACTGATACTGTACAAGGTACAAACTTCCTCTCACCTCTCTCCCTCATTCATAAGGTTTTACTCCTTTTTGAAACCTGATGGTTAGTAAAATAAAATCATCACTTGAAGATTTCTCATATTGATCACTTTTAGAGAGATTTTTTCCTATATGAATACTGCTTCATAAGGTTTTCATGTACCTGGAAAGCTTTACTGCAACTATCACATTCAGGGTGGTTTTCTTTTGCTGCTGCATTTAAATTCTTGTTGTTTTATAAGATCTAAAGAGCTCCTGAAAGTTTTGCTCCTTTATTACATATATACAGTATTTTTGTCTTTATTGTCTGTGTGGTGACTTAATTCTTTCTGTAGATTTCTAATTTGTTACGTTCCAGAGTTTCTCTCCAACATAAATTCTTTCATAGCTAATAAGGTCATATGAATATGGTAAGTCTAAGGCTTTGCTCACATTAATAGGGTTTCACTCCACTATGAATTTTCCAATGCTTAAGAAATTCTGACCATTTAAGGCTTTCATAGTCTTAGCATTTTCCTCCACTATGAACTTTCTAGGTTATTTGATCTTCAATAAGTTGTGAGCTCTGGTTTCCCCAAATTTTTTCCCCTTCTTATATGCATACTCCAATGTATAGAAAGGCCTGATCGCTCCCCTAAAATCTTCAGTACTTCTTTATGGGGCTTTTCTCTTTATAGAATTGTTTAACAAATAGTAAGGCCTAAGCTCATTCTCAAGGCCTTCCCACATTTGTATTTTTCTTTGATGTTTCATAGGTTTCAAGGCCCCTTGAAGATTTTTGTACATTTGTTACTATACACTTATCACCTAGATGAATATTGTTATTTTTAATAAAACCTGAATGTGCCCTAGAGCCTTACCCATATTTGTCACAATTATAGGGCTTTTCTTCCATGAGTTCTCTGGTGGCTAATTCGAAAAGCTTTCCCACATTTCTTATACCCATAGGGTTTTGCTCCAGTATGAATTTTCTGATGTTTACTAAGGTCTGAGTTCCCCCTGAAGGCTTTCCCACATTTATTACATACATAGGGTTTCTCTCCTGTGTGAATTCTCTGATGTTCAATAAGGTCTGAGTGCCCCCTAAAACTCTTCCCACATTCATTACAATGATAGGGTTTTTCTCCTGTATGGATTCTCTGGTGGCTAATAAGGCCTGAACTGACCCGAAAGGCTTTCCCACATTCATTACATTCATATGGTTTCTCTCCTGTATGAATTCTCAGGTGTTTGACAAAATCTGAATTCACCCTGAAGGCTTTCCCACACTGCCTGCATTCATAGGGTTTAGCTCCTGTATGAATGCTCTGATGCTTAATAAGGTCTGACTGTGCCCTGAAGCCTTTGCCACATATGTTACACAAATATGGTTTTTCTCCTGTGTGAATCCGATGGTGGCTAGTAAGGCCTGATCTAATCCGGAAAGCTTTGCCACATTCTTTACATTGATAGGGCTTTTCTCCAGTATGAATTCTCTTGTGTTTAGAAAGGTCTGAGTGTCCCCGGAAAGCTTTCCCACATTTGCTGCATCTATAGGGTTTTTCTCCACTATGAATTCTCTGGTGTTCAATAAGGCTTGATTTTCTACTGATGGTTTTGCCACATTCGTTACATTCGTAAGGTTTCTCCCCACTATGAATTCTCTGATGCTCCAGAAGGCTTGAGTTCCTGTTGAAGGCTTTCCCACATTCATTACATTTATAGGGTTTCTCTCCACTGTGAATCCTCTGATGCTCAAGAAGGCTTGAGTTCCTACTAAAAGCTCTCCCACATTCATGACATTCATGGGGTTTCTCTCCACTGTGAATTTTCTGATGTTCAAGAAGGCTTGAGTTCCTGCTAAAGGATTTCCCACATGTATCACATTCATGGTTTTGTTCTCCCTTGTGTTTACTCTGATATCTCATCAATTTTGAACCCTGCCTGAAACAATGGTGAAATGAATCACATATCTTAGATTTCTTTCGGACAGGATATCTCTGTTGTGTAACAGAGTTTGAACCAATGTCACTTTTAATGCATTTGTGCCTTCTTGTTACTTTAAGGCCACTGCTATAAATACCAGTCACCTGCTCAAAATCAGTCTCCTGGAAAAGAGGGCTTCTCGGTTCCTCCTTCAGAGTATTTCCAGGAAGTTGGTCTAATCTAGCCTCACTATCCGAATTTTCTTCAATGGTATGGCAAATGGTCCTGGGAACTTTTGCTAATAAAATCTTCTGCGCTTTGCCTTCTTCAGCAATGTCTTGCTTTGGAATACACACTTTCTTCTCAGACCCACAATCTGAAATGATACAAAGAGGACAGTGTTGGGAGAAAGGAACAAGGTCGTCTGAAATAAAGGACAAGATCACTGAATGAAGTAATGGGCCTTTAAAATTTTGACTGTATTCCGTGGGAAGAAGGTGGTAATGTTAGGAGTAGAGAGGGATTGGGGCCTGTGCTTTCATTGGAATACGAAACTCCCAGTGAGGAACTCTCATACCAAATGCAAATCGGCAACAACTATTTAATTTATAGTCTTAGAATTGCCTAGAGTACTCAGAGGTTAAAATGACTCACATAGAATCACATAGCCAATGTGCTAAAGGTAGGATTTGAACCCAGGGCTTCATTAATCTGAGGCCAGCCCTCCATCCACTATACCATGCTGCATTCCATATGGTCACCCAAACCAAATAAATACAAACAAAGTCACAGTCATCTAAAGAATGAGAATGAAACAAGCAAGCCACAGAATAAAAATATTTAGGAATGAGTGACAAAGAATAAAATAAACTCAAAGGATGAAGAAGAGCCTTGTGGTTGACATAAAATAGATAAAAGAAGCAAAAAACGGCAGGAAAGGGAAAAGAGAAGGTGAACTCGATGAAGATGAGATTTGAAGGAGTGTGGGAGTGATGCCCAACGGAAGTACAAAGAGATAAGCCTGAGCATAGATGAAGGGCAATATGGGAGCAACTGTTTTCTTCCATGAGAAACTGCTAGCCTAGCTAGAAGAGCACTGGATTTGGAGCCAGTAGACCTGGTTTCGAATCCTGGCACTGTCACTCATCAGCTAAGTGACCTCAGGCCAGTCATTTTATGGTCCAAATAAGTGAGTAGAATTAAGAGCTGCACTGCTGCTTTGGCTTAGAAAGGGGGTCATGATGGTATAAAAAAGTAACCCTGGAATCTGAGACTGAAAAAGGAGGTCATAGGATCATAGAATTTAGGGTGGGTAAGCTGAAGTGGTACTGGTGTTTCCTCTCCATGCAGTAACTTAAGACTGCCTCTACTTTAACTCACCTATTTTTATTCCTGTTGACTCCCATAGATGTTTATGTTGTTCCCTCACTCACCAAAACGAATCACTTGAATCTTCGTTCTCAGCAGAAATGGCACACATGGTATTTCCCCTCGCTCCAGCCGAGAGATTAGGTCTGGTTTGGGAATTGGAAATCCTGATCATGAGAAAGGAAGCAGATTATAGCCATTTGATTTTAGGACAGAGAGCCATGGCAGAGCTCAACCCCAGACACCTTCCCTCTGAAATTACCTCCAATTTATCCTGTATATATAGTTAGAATGTGAGCTCTTTGAGAACAGACCATCTTTTCCCTCTCTTTATATCCCCAGTGTTTATTTAGCATGGTACCTGGCACACAGTAGGCACTTAATAAATTCTTGTGACTTGTTGACAGACACTGTATGTTTAGGGATTGGGTGAAAGAAATATACACAGGAATATCTCTCTACAGGGACTTCAGGAGTGTTCTACCTAGAAGGGGCAGTGGTAGGCAAGGGATTGCAATGTCAAGGAGCAAATGATCTGGGCAGAGAAGAACAATTTTTTTTTTTGTCTTGGGAAACTCTTGGGTCCTAAGATATGGACATTGAGAATCACATTCATAGAATCCAGAAAGCTTTCCTCTAGGGACTCACTGGGGCTGGGAAGAGGCAGACCTAGGGATAGTTGCAGGATGCCCCCATCTCCACCTCTATATCAAATGAAATAATATTTCTAAAGCACTTAGCTAATGCCTGGCATTATATAAATGCTTATTCCTTCCCCTTCCTCCTGCCCCCGGCCTCGATAAAGGCCAAACCAATGACCTGAGACTAGGGAGCAGAAAAAGGCCCTGATAGAGGATGCAACAAGAACTGGGAATTTTCATTCCTGAAGCTCAAGTTCACTGAGTGCATAACAAATCTCAGAAATAAGGCAGAAACTTCAGAGAGGTCACAGGAAGCAAAGGATCAGAGGATGAAAGCTGGGAGTCCAACCTCCTCATTTTACAGATGAGGGCAGTGAAACTGGAGGAGATAAAGTGACTCACTGCCCTTACCTGTAAAATAAGGAGGTTCTGTGACTCCAAATCCCTTTGCAGGGAGACATGGCACAATATCAATTAACAGCAAGGAGCTAATGCAATTTTAGGTTAATTTCCAAGAGGCAGAATACCCAGGATCAGGGAGTTGACAGTGGAGTTGTGTACGGCTGGCCCAGGCAGACCTCACCTGAAGTATTCACTCAGTTCCAGGTGCCTCACTTTGGGAAGGACACAGGTAAACTGGAGAGAATCCAGAGAAGGGAACGGATCAGAGACTTAAGAGTTGGAAGGAGACTTTCAGGCTTCCAGCTTCCAAACCCCTTCATCTTACTGATGAGGGAAACTGAGGCATAGAGACGTCAAGTGTCTAATCAGCTAACAAGTCACATGGCTAATAAGTACCTAAGGCAAGATTTGGACACAGATCTGCCTCACTCTAAGTCCAATGATCTCTGCACTAAGGCAATGTTGCCTCCAAGAAGGTGAAGAGTCTTTGAGATCACACCATATCAGGATGGAGGGAAAGAACTGGAGAACTTAGGAAGTGACTATTTCAGAAGGACAAGTTAGCTACCCTCAGGTATCTGGAGGGCTGTCACATGGAACAGGGATTTGGCTTACTCTTCATGGCCCCAAAGGACAGAATAGGAGTAATGGGTAGAAGTTGATAAGATGCAGAAGCTCAATGTCAGAGAAAATGTCCTAACAATGGTAGCTACCTAGCATTGAAGTAGGCCACCTCAGGAGTCAGTGGGTTCCTCCTCAATGGAATCCTCCTAACAAAGTCTGGGTGACCAGATATCTGTTATGCTATATAAGAAATTCTGGGTGATCTAAGGGCCTCTAAGGCCCCCCCCCAATTCTGAGAGTCTGTGATTCTAGAGAACGGTCAGAAAACCAGAAGAACAGGATATCACAAAGATATAGAGAACCAGAGAGGAGAGGCCTTCAAGAAAGGGGTGGAACAGTAGTGTCAAATTAAGAATTACATACGCACACAAACCATACACATACACATGTGCAGAGCCATTGGACTGACTGATAAAGTCATAAGCAACCTTAGAAAGAACAAGCAAAACAGGTTTGACCACGTTCCCGTTCCACTTAATATACTCCAATGGCTCCCTAGTACCTCTAGGATAAGATATAAATTCCTCTATTCGGCATTTAAATCCATTTACTACCTGGTCTTCTTACACTTTCCTCCTCCACAGAGTCTATGAGACCACTTTCCTCAAACAGTATGATTCTATCTCCTGACTCCATGGCAGAGGCACTGGCTGTCACCCCCTGTGCCCAGAATGCTCTGCTCTCTCACCCCTCACTGCCTCTTACTTTCCATGGCTTCCTTCAAGACTCAGCTCAAATCTCACATTCCTAATGTGTCCCAACTCCGACACGTGTTCTCACCCCACGCTAGTGCTTTCTTCCTATATTATGTTCAATCTACTCTATATATTTATTGAATGTACATATTGTTTTCCCCATTAGAATATAAGCTTCTTGAGGACTATTTTTGTCTTTCTTTGTATCCCTAGCACTTGGCCCAGTGTCTGGAACACAGTAAATGATTAATAAATGCTTGTTGACTAACAGTTTCAGTAGAGAGGTGGTCATAGAAGCCAGATTGCAAGGGATGAATGTGGCAATGGAGTCCAGTGAATGAAAAGAGCACTGGTTTAAGTGTTAGGAAACCCAGGTTCTAATGCCAGCCCTGCCACTACCCAACTTCAAGACGAGAGTTCAACAGAACAAATTTCTTTAAAAAGATGAAGTTTAAGTTTTCAAGTTTACAAAGTTGAGGGGGGATGTTCTCACAGTCTAGAAATATCACCAATCCCCCCCCTCAGTCTAGTCCAAGCAATCTGGTGCATCACAAACCAGAGAGGTTCCTAATTTACCTGTCAAGGAAACAGCTCTTGAATCAAGCAAATCAAGTCCAACTTGGGAGAGCATCATGTCAAAAATTCCCATCCAAAGTTGTCATGAATTACACAGAAACAGTCTTGATAATTCTGTTGAATGTGTTACTTTGCTGCCATGTAAAGTCCCATTTATTTTCATTTGTCTCAAAATTCTGTTTCAGTCACATGGGGTGGCCCCTTGCTCCACAGGCCAAGTCAACTCTTTTTATGCTCTTCAGATGTTCCAACCTTGGATCACGTCCCATGTCTTGGCCTTTGGCTCTTAATATAGGGTGTCCTAAAAGTCTTAGCGTAGTTTTAAGCTATTAAAGCTTAAAATTTCACTAAGGCTTTCAGGACACTCTGTACTTAAAAGTTCTCATTTTAATGTTCTGTCCCCATATAGAAACTCTCCCCTTTGATCATTCCAGGTGTCCCTTTCTAGACATTCTTTCGGTCATTAATGTCTTTCTTTAGGTGTGGTGAACAAGCAGTCCATGTAATCACTCTTAGTAGTCATATAAGGACAGGATAGTATTGAAATCCTTCTAAAATGAAAAAAATTAACATTTATTTAGTTTAAATTTGCCCTTTGTAATTACTTATGAAGGATTTCTGGTGAAATACAGAAAAGAATTACAAAGGCTAAGAAGGCATGGCACATAGGCCATTACTTCAGAGAGCTGGGGGTCATTAATGGAGCTTTATCATTTCCCAAAGAATTTCCCTGTTCTCTTTCTCCTATTTAATTCTGAGTCCAACTCACTGTCCACTTGCAGTGTCTATTCAATATACTATATATGTGTGGATCTCTATCTTTATAGTGGCCCTGCAGTGGATAGAGTGCCGGGCCTGGAGTCAGGAAGACCTGAGCTCTAAACTGCCCTCAGACACTTAGCAGCTGTGTGACCTTAGGCAAGTCACTTAACCTCTATTTGCCTTAATTCACTAGAGAAAGAAATGGCAAACCACTCCAATATCTTTGCCAAGAAAACCCCATGAACAGTATTGGCATGATATGATCCACAGGGTGATGAAGAGTCGACCGTGACTGAATGACTTAACAACAATATATACATCATACATATATGTGTGTGGATATTATGTATATGTATACCTACACACATATATACATATATATACATATGCATGTACGTATGAATAAGTTCTATAAAATGTCCATCTAACTTCATGTCACCATTTGGACACTAAGCATTCTTCATTCACTTGGTTTTTCTAATGTAGATGGTTAGTCAAACCCTTTGTGTGGTTATGGATTTTATCCGGGAGGCTGTGTAATATTCTGGGGCTTAATATGTGGAAAATGGCAGTCTCTGGAGGGAGATCTATACAAATGAAATCATAGATTTGCCAAAGAACCATACTATTTATTAAGTTTTTTAAATACTTCTAATTTTTATGACATTTATAAGTCCATATCCAACAGGGCAATTACCACATTTCCTTAAAACACTCTCTTGATGCCACTGTCCAAACACAATACTTTCTTTGTATCCTCAGCACTTAGCCCAGTGTAGGGCACATTGTTGTCGTTGAGTTGTTTCCGACCCTTTGCAACCCCATTTGGGGGTTTTCTTGGCAAAGATACTGGAATGGTTTGCCATATGCTTTTCTAGCTCATTTTACAGATGAAGAAACTGAGGCAGACAGGGTTAAATGACTTGCCCAGGGTCACACATCTGGTAAGTGTCTGAGACTGGATTTGAACTCAGGAAGATGAGTCTTCCTGGTTCCAGGCCTCACACTCTATGCACTGCAGAGCCACCTAGCTGTCCTAGGGCACACAGTAAGCATGTTGATTAATTATAGAATTTTTCACATAATTATGTTATTAACAAATGAGGAAACTGAAAATTACTCTTATTTCCTGAGTGGGACCGGAGAGAACACTTACCTTGTAAAAGCACATTCCCATAATTCTCTAGCATCACGTTCCTGTAGAGCCTCTTCTGTGCAGGGTCCAGTAGTACCCATTCTTCCTCTGTGAGATATATAGCCACATCCTCAAATGTTACCAGCTCCTAAAAGCACCAGAACAGAGGTGAGGTCTCTCAACTTTACATGGCTAATTGGGGGGCAGGGGGGCGGAACGTATTAAAGAAAAGATGGATACAAGGTAGAGTGGGAAGCATACTTAATTAGCTGTCAGGGAACCTGAGTTCCAATTCCTGACTCAAAATATAAATAAGCATATCACCTCATCACTACCAGCAACAACTGCTAACCAGCTGCCACCAACAGGCATATAAGCAGAAGAGCCCTGGGAGTGGTCCTGCTTCTATCCCAGCCCTCACATCCATCATCCAGGGAGACAACTCCTATGGAGAAAGGTTCATCCATCCCCACCAAGTGCCATCCAAATGACACTCACAGGGCAGGCAGGCCAGAGGGTACCCTGAGAGACTGGAGGCAACATATGCCAGACAGGCTTAACCACCATCACCACCACCTTGACCACTATCTCCCTTCAGATTCTGATGGAGACACTCCAGAACCCTACATCCAAGAGCCTCAGGAATAGCAATGCCTTCAGGCCAGTATCCATAGCCATCATCCTAGGAAGCAACCCCTTGTGGAGATGTAGCCTGGTCACTGCTCCTGTGGGTACCATGGACAACAAGTTCTTGTCGCCAGAGTCCTTGGCACTGTCAAATGGTTTTATCACAGAAACTGACATGATTTTATCAGCAGAAATTACATTAGAAGTATTACCATCTACTTTGCCACTGTACCCAGAAGACCATGGCACCTTTCCATCTGACTTGCAGCTGAAACTGCCCAGATGTGTCATCTCCATTAGAATCTGAGCTCCTTAAAGCAGGGATTGTCTTACTATTCTATCTTTATCCCCAATGCTGAGCACAGAAGTGGTCACATGTATTCGAATTTGCATTATTTGAAGTTATAATTATGTAAAATATAGTAATTGGTTCCAGGCCAATGGAAACATGCAGTATAAATTCAAATGATGCAATCACTATGGGGGATTCATTATTCATACTAATTGGGACCTAGGGTTGTAGTAAGTGCTTAATAAATACTTTCTTCATACATTAATTTTCTCCACCCATAAAATGAGATAATAATAGCAGCTACCAACCATCACATAGCAACTCCTAATGGTTAGAAGCGGGGGTTCTGGTTCTTGAAGGGTACATCTCTGGAAGAATGATGTTGAGGATAGATTCAACTGGTAGTGATGACAACTTGGGAACACTAGAGGGAGCCACAGCTCACCTGGGATCTGGCTGTCAGGGGAGCACCTGGCATCAGCTTGTCTCCTTTGCTTCTGCACAATTAGATGGAGCTAAGGAAAGTACAAAGCGTAATGAGTAAGATCAACCTTGCCCAACTGCCTCATTGCCCTCCCTCCCACTCAATTATTAAAACCTATTTAAACTGAGCTGATTCTGTGGCCCATTACAATGGTACATAACTATGGCCCTCATTACTGCTTGACATTCCCTTTACTCTTATGAATTCTCTCATTCCCCAAAGCAATCATTCCAATCTTTTTTCTCTCCCTCTCACACTTAAGCATGGCCCCACTTCCTACAGCTACACCCTCCTGATTTATTCAGAAGACTAAGACTATCTGACCTGAGGTCCCTTAACCCCCTTCCTCTTTCTTAAATCAACTTCATAGCTCAATCTCTCTTTGGACAAAAATATCCATCACAAAGGTTCATCCCTCTATCATATGCCCTTGATGTCACTCCCTCCTGCCTCTTGTGGGATCCTGCAATCATCCCCTCTCTCTTGAATCTTTCATCTTTCCTTTCCCATCTACCTAAAACATGTCCATGTCTATCTCACCCTAAAAGCCTTCTTTTGACCCTGCTACCCCATCAAACTACTACTCCACTTGGCCATTCCCTTTCCTTCATTGTCAAACTCCTTGAAAAAGCTGTTAACACTCAATGCCTCAACTTCTCCACTACCCACTCTCAACTCAAGCTATTGTGATCAGACTTCACTTCTGATAATGAAATTGTTCTGAGGTTACACAAATCCAAAGGTTTGTTTTCCAGTTCTCATCCTCCCTGACTTCTCTGTAGAATGACAATGTTGACTACCTCCCTACTACTAGTATTCTCTCCCCCTTGGCATCACATAAGCTCATTTAGGGTGCCCTCCTAGCTCTCTAACCACTGCATTTTTTCACTGGTTCCTGTTATCTTAAGGTTGGTATTTCCCACAGTTCTGTCTACCGACTCTAAACATAACCTCCTTCCTCTATATATACTCTTTCCCTGGACAAGTTCGTTTCCTCTTAGGGCATTGATTCCCAGACCTCCCTTCTGAGGTCCAATCATATCTACAATTGTCTATAGGGCAGCTTCAGTTAAATGCCCTAGAGATGCCCCCAGGTCAACACATCTAAAAATGAGCTTATCATTTCCTCCATTTAAACTTGCTCATTCTTCTGACTTCACTAGCCTGGTGGCACCACCATTTACCCAAATATCCATTTAAAACTATGGGGTTCTCATAGCCAATATCAGCAAACTTAATTATCTTAGCCTTTCTACTCCCATGTCCTGGTATTGATGCTCATTATCACCCAAGACTACTGTAAGGGGTGCCTTACACATCTTTCTGCCACCATTTCCCCCCTTCTTCAATTTATCTGAGCCTAAAGTTGACTTGACCCATGACCATGCTGATGCTGACATGTAATGAGTAATAAGACAGAGACAGAGAATAGGTAAAGTCACCATAAAAGGTTAAAGCTTTAGAGGCAGGTTAAATCACATAAGCATCAAATTCCCCAACATACTCCCACCAGCTTACCCCCTGACTCAATACTGACCACCCTTTCTGCCCAAATCTCTGCTCTCTCAGTTGGTTTCCATCTCAGCCTCTTCTCTTTTACTGCTCTGAATAATCTCCGATTTAGGATTGATTGGATATAGACTCCATTCCCACCCTCCTTTTCCAGAGAGGACTGCCTCCCCTTGGACTCAGCGCTACTCTAATCACTGGCAAGTGGAAGTCAACTAATACCAGTTTACCATCCTTGTTCCACCCATGATGCTGCAATGACAATTGGAAAGAGGCTGCATCAAGAGATCTATTACACTTGAAGGAAATAATCTATTTCATGTTACAGTCAGTTGCTCTAAACTCTGATAGTAGAGTTCTAGAGTCATCTGGATTGTTTTGATAAGTGACAGGAATCCTTAAGGTTCCTGGTCCAATGAAAGACATTTATAGACCTTCCCACCTGGGGATCCTAGACTACCTTCATTCTGTTCTGCCTAGTGAGACTATTTAGGGTTCTGATAAGCCAACTCCCATTCTATTACACATAAAAGAGCCCCCTATTAGGCAATTTGGGGAACTCAGGAGACTTTTGAGCTCATTTCTACACCTCACTCATCACCCCAACCTGCCTCTTAAAGCAAGGACTACTAAGAGATTCACCTGCAGGGGTATTATAGTCTGGAAAAAACCCTGTTGTTTCTGGCCTTCCTATCCTCCCTCCAAAAAGCTGTCTATATCCTAGACATGTCTTCCCTAGCCTGCCTGCTACCACCTATACTCCTGCTCTGTAACCCAATTTATCTGGATATTCTACACTTGGAAGGTCCCAGTTTCCCAGCTGACACCTTGCTGTCTGTGATTTTGGACCTGGGAAACCAACCAGTCCTGACTGATCCAGACCCCTTCCTTCCCCATAAACTCTAGGATTGCTCTTACTCTGAGCTTCCCCCAATTTATGAAGATAAAAACAGGAGCAAGCAAGAGCTTGCTGCTACAGGATGCCAGTTCTGTTATAGACTCCATCCCTCCTGCCACAGGCTGAAAAGCTCCTTACTGAAGGTTCTCTAACAACACCCCTGGTTTATGTCCCTCCCCAAGGTTATGTGGAAGTTATCAGTCCCAGTTCAAGTGTGTATGTATGTGAGTTAGGTAGGACGGGGAGAAATCAGCTATCCCAATACCACTGTCCTGTTGCCCCTGACTTCTTTCCTTAAATGTATCAATTGCTCTCAGCATTCAGTAGCTCGTCCAATATTTCTATAAAGCCACTTTAGTCCAAGGAACCAACCCCAAATGACAAGGAATAGTGGAAGATGATGTCGCCTCCTCCTGAATTCCAGGGCAGGATTTCCATTGGCTTTCAGTGCCCTGGAACCGTGCCTGCTTGTGAAATAATCCAGGCAACTATGGCCATCAACCTACCTGGGTTATTCAGCAATTTAAGAGTGCTGAATCATGACTTTGATTGTAGCCAAAGTTTTAAAGTTTTCTTTCATCCCAATCCCTAGGAATCAACTGCATGTGCACACAGCAGGGGTTTTATTTTGATTGACAGGGGGCATGGGCACAGCTTGAAGGAATGCCATGTTCAGCCCACAGCTGCCAGCTGGATCATAAGAAGGTGGCAAGTCTCAAAGATATCTGCTCCCCAGATACTAGTCATCATGCTGAATCGGTCTGAGTTGTCCTTGAGCACCCAGGCCAGCACCTGCTAGTTGCAGAAATTGCAATTTGAGGAGGAAATGGTGATTTCGGGGCAAATAACAGAAGTGATGCCACTCGTTACTAGTAGTGCTACTTTATATACGTCTCAGACATTCATATTTTTTAAAGTTGCCTCTCCCATTAGAATGCCAACTCCTTGAGGGCAGAAACTGGTTTTGCCTTTCTTTGCTTTTCCAGTTTTATTGCCAGTGTTTTCCTGGCACAGTAGAAGCACTTAACACTTAATGATTGATTGCTTTCAAGTTTCCAAAGCACTTTATACACATTATCTCATTTGCACCTCAGTGAATAGGCTACAACCCTGTACTACTTGAAAGTCCTACAGGTATAATTATGCCCACTTGAGAGATGAGCAAGCTGAGATTTGGAGGGGTGACTTTGCTATGGTCATCTAGCTCATTTTAAAGGTAGGATTTGAACCCAAGCCCTCCTGATTCTGTGGCACAAGGATGGTGGGGAATTCATATAGATCCACACAAATTGGAAACTACTGCTACGTAGCTTGCAGCATAGCCTTCATGTAGTCAAAGCAGTGAACATTGTACCCCTACGGAGCACATTATTGATGGGAACCAGTTCTGGCTATCCTTCTATAAAACCCATACCAGCTTAACTGCCTAGAAATGGGCAGGAAGTAAACTCACTCTTTTCCAAATTTGTAGTAAGGCTTACAACCTGCTAGCTAGGATTATTCTCCTCATGCCTCAACCACATTCATGTTACACAAGTCTGGTTAATGTGTGAAGGTGGGCAAATTACTTAACCTCTCCGGGTCTCAGCTTCCTTACTTGAAAAGTGGGGAAGACTGAGGTGATCTCCAAGGATCTTTCCAGCTGTAGGTCCTAGGATACTCCCTACATATAGCAGTCACAGTGGATGGGCAGGAAAAATATATTCTTCAATACAACTGTAACTCACTGAGGCAGTGGAGGCCTCCTCCAGTGCCTGGCAGACAAGGAGGGGCTTACACTGGAGAGAACATGGAAGCTCTAATGAGCACAACCTGGAATTAGTAGGAGTCTTCCCCCTAATCTACACTCTTAAGATCTTAGATGTTTGGGGGAAGAAAGAGTTCATCTCTATTGCCTTCATGGCATGGCAGATCATGCTGGCATCAGTGCAGGGTGGGAATGGGGACTGCACGTAACCAACAAAAAAATGGGCAAATTTTGGGAGAACACAGTAAGTGAGACAGTGTCAGCTCCCTGCCATTGGCTTGCTTCCCTGATCTGACACTGACCTTCCTGGGCTGAGTATCTACTCCTGCAATCCAAAAGTCTTCAGTAGAACCTCATGTCTTATCGAACATCCCTTCCAGAAGTAACCTTGTGACCCTTTAAATTGTAGCGCTCCAAAGAACTTGCTGATACCAAACCAGCTGGAATCCAGAAGATAACCAGCACTCATACCAGAAAAAAATGGGCATTTAAGTGCTATCAGGTACAAAGTGTAAAATTTAGGTAAGGTAAAATTTAGGTAAGAAACAGTTCCCTTCCATCAAGAAGGAACTTAAAGGTGCAGGAGAAAAGACACTAACACAAATAGCTATAATATATTAGTAAACATACACATTCCAGATTTTTAAAAAGTCCTTGGATGGTCTGGAAGAGAAAGTCAAAACTGACGATGGAGATTCAGGAAAGGTTACTGCAAGGAGCCATTTGGGTTGGGAAGGAAATCAACAAGCAAATATGGTAGGGAGGAGCAGACCAGGTATAGGGAAGCCTGAGCAAAAGCATGGAAGGAAATATGCAAAACAGTATATGTCTGGGTGGCAGAGGATAGACTTTGGCTGGGATGCCCAATACATATAAGGAAGCAGGAGACAAAGTTGGCAAGGACATGTACCAGATCATGGAGAGCTTTAAGTTAGAGTCAGTTTGACTTGACTTAGAAAGCAACAGGAAGTCATTTGAGATTTTCAAGCAAAGGAGTTTTATGACCAGATCTGGCATTGTTCTGGCAGCAGTATGAAGGGAAGGCTGCAGAACAGAAGCTACTGCAATGGTCTTCATAACCTGCACTAGGGAACTAGCCCAAAAATGGGGCCATTCCCCAAGAGCTCCCTCTTCTCAGCTCCTATCATACAGATGCCTTCTGCCACTATCTCCTCCTTCACCTGTCTCACATAAAGTGGTCCTTGTCCTTGCCAATGCAAACCCTTCTATGTGCATTCATGATCCCATTCTCTCTCCTGTTCTCCAGAGGGCTGTCCCTTTATCATCTCCATTCTCACTTCATTCTGTCTACTGGTTACTTCTCTATTGCCTACAAACACGCTCACGTCTTCCTCACCCTCAAAAAACCCCTCACAATCCATTAATCTCCACTATTATTCCACATCCCCTTCCTTTAATGGCTAAACTTGAGATATTATATCGAGGTGCCCCGACTCCTTTTCATTTTCTACTATCTGGCTTCTGACCTCATCATTCTATTACAATTGCTCTCTCCAAAGTTACTAACAATTTCTTAAGTGCTAAATCTAATGGCCTCTTCTCTCCAGGGGCAGCTAGGTGGTGCTGCAGTACCAGGCCTGCAGTCAGAAAGACTCCTCTTCCTGGGCTCAAAGCCAGCCTCAGACACTTATGAGCTGTTTAGCCACTTACTACTTGTGTGACCCTGGGCAAGTCACTTCACCCTGTTTGCCTCAGTTTCCTCATCTGTAAAATGAGCTGGAGAAGGAAATGGCAAACCACTCTAGCATCTTTGCAAAGAAAACCCCAAATGGGGTCACAAAGAGCTGGCCACTACTGAAATGACTTAACAAATCTTTCTGGGTTTTTCCTGACACTACTCTATCTTGGTTCTCTTCCTATCTGACCCACTCTTTCTCAGTCTCCATTGCTGGATCTTCCAGTAAGGGTGGATATCCTACAGAGCTCTGACTGGGCCCTCTTCTCTCCTCTCTCTACACTTTCACTTGGCAATTTTATTAGCTCTCTTCTGATACTGCCATCACACTGGCGTAAGCCTTCATCCCCTCACATCTAGCTTGCTCATTGGTCACTGTCTCAAGTCTCTCCCCATTCCAATAGTCCAGCCCCCACTCAGCTGTCAAAATGATATTCCTGAAGTGCAGATCTGACCACATTACCTCTCCCCATTGTCCTCAACTCAGTAAACTGCAGTGGCTCCTTATCATCTCCTTAAGGATCAAATATAAAATCCTGATTGGCATTCAAAGCCCTTCATATCCAGGACTCCACCAACACCACTTGTCTTCTTACACCCTGCATCCCATACCCTGATTCAGTGTCACTGGCCTCTTTACTGTTCCTTGAATAAGACCCTCTTCTTGGCTCTAAGCATTTTCACTGGCTGTCCCCCACGCATGGAATGCTCTCCTTCACCTTTACATCCTGGCTTCCCTGAAGTCCCAGCTAAAATCTCACCTTCTACAGGAAGCCTTTCATGATCTCCCTTCCATGCTGAGTATCTCTATAATTTATCTTGTATATAACTCATTTGTACAGCTCTTTGCATGTTGTCTCCCTCATTAGACCATAAGGCTTCTTGAGAGCCAAGACTACCTTCTATCTTTTGTACCCTACAGTGTCTGGCTGGCCATGTTAAAAAATCTACAGTGGCTCCCTAGTGAGTCAAGGTCAAACTCCTTTGCCAGACATTTAAGGCTCCCCTTGTTTAACCCCCCTGCCAGACTTATATAATGTGACTCTGCAATTTTAAGTTTGCTCAAAAGGGACCATTGCTTTTCTATTCCCATGCAAAATTTGCTCATGCTAGTTGCATAAAGGGGAGTAATAAGCCTAAAAAGTTAGATTACAAATAGCTTTAAATTCCAGGACTTTGCATATATTAAGACGCCCTCATCACTTAGTCCAGGAACTCCTGGAGGTCATGAGGTCAAGACTATTTTCATGACACCAAGATGTTTTAATGTTTACTAACAGTAAATACTGGGGCAGCTAGATGGCACAGTGGATAGAGCACTGGCCCTGGAGTCAGGAGGACCTGAGTTTAAATCTGACCTCAGACCAAACCCTTGACACTACCTGTGTGTGTCTGGGCAAGTCACTTAACCCCAACTGCCTCAACAACAAAAAAAAAGTTTAAAAAAAAAACACCAGTAAATACTGATAGACATAACCTACATAGACAAAAGCTCTTTGGGGAATCTAAAAATTTTTAAGAGTTGGAGCAGCTAGGTGGTGCAGTAGATAGAGTGCCAACCCTGGAGTCAGGAGGACTTGCATTCAAATTCAGCCTCAGACCAGACATTTGACACTTAATAGCTACGTGACCCTGGGCAAGTCACTTAACCCCACTGCCTAGCAAAAACAAACAAAAAGAAAAAGAAAAAATTTAAGGATATAAAGGAGTCCTGAATCCCAAAAGTTAGAGAACCATTAACATATTGCAAAAGCCTCCTAATTAGTCTTTCTGCCTCAAGTCTCTCAATACTTTGACTATTGGCTACGCCATTTTAAACACTGCTGCCAAAGCATTTTTTTCTTAAACAGAGAGCTTATCACAGAACTCCTTATACAATTAACTACAGTGGCTTCCTATTCTGTCTAGACTAACATATAAACTCACCTCTTTAGCTTTGAAAGCCCTATATAACATGGCTCTAACTCTCCCAGCTTTGATGGACATAAGTGACTTCTGTGTAAGCTCTCTGTTCCTTCTTTCTGTACCTTTGCATTGGTCAGTCCCCAAGCCTAGGATGTGCCTCTGTCCAAGGTCCTCTCTTCACTTAAGATGAGGCTCAGGCATATTTGGCATGAAGTTTTTCCTGATCCCCACTCTTTCCCCAATTACTAGTGCCCTTACTCTCAAACTACCTGTAACTTCTTGGGGGGGGGTGTACATATACACACACGTATATACATTTATTAACTTTATATTTATGCTGTATTACTGTATTTATTTGATACATACTTGTCTTCCCACTTAGAAGAGACAGTCTCTCTGGGAAAGTAAGCTCATTTCAAGCAAGGATGGCATCCTTCTTTGTCCTTATATTCCCCAGTACCTGGCATATAGCAGCCACCTAATACTTGCCGACCAACTTGAGGCAGATAATAAATTATTCAACTATCCAACTGAGAGGTGATGAGGGTCTGAACTCAGGTGTTTTTAATGTTAGTGAAGGAAAAGGATCAGATGCAAGAGATGTTATATACCCTCAATCCAACTCCATCCCATCCTCTCCAGCAAACTACCCACTTTCTCAATCTTCAATCTCTCCCTATCTACTAGCTTGCTTTCTTGCTGCCTAGAAACAAACCCTTACCTTCCTCTACTCCTGAAAAAATCCTCATTTGATCCTACCACCTCCA